CATGCTAAGTTGTTGTGCTCATAGACTGGAAGGTTTTGAATATGCCAAGCAATGCTCTCTTTTACTGTTAATATAATCATATAATTTCATATCATATGACATCATTACCTGGTGGATCCATAGTGTAGTCGTTTACACACATTTGTGCAACAAATAAGAGATGCCCAGTTTCAGATGAAAAGGGCATCTGGTGTAAAAAGTCTTCTAATCTGAACATTGTGAACAAGGGAGCGGGCAAGTGTCAGTGTTACGACCACTAACAGTTCAATAAAATTTCACAGCAAGTGAAACCATTAATATTTCTGATATTTCTTCTGTGTGCTGACAGTCAGTAAAAATATCTGGAATGATCCTTTCCACTTTAATTTATGTTTCTGCATTACTGTTTTATGTTTGTCACCAGTCCGATGCATGGCTAAGAGCGAACCCAAATTAACACTTATGGTCAGTTTAGTATCACCAGTTTGTATTGCGTGTCTTTGAACTGTGGGAGGAAGCCAGAGTGCTCGGAGAGACCCAAGCAAACACGGGGGGAACTAGTGCAGAGTGCAGAAAAATGGTCTCATGTGAGATGTTGCTAGTTCACTGGCTTGCTTAAGTCACAGCTGTAAAACCAAACTGAGAACCTCAGAGTTGAGGGATGTGTGTAAACCTCACATCTTCTTTCAGAGTTGAGGACTCATGTCTGGCTGTAGCATGCATCCAAACCACAGGCTGCCAGGTAATGCAAGGTTATACGTTTTATTTACAGAAGACGAACACACACGTGTGGGAGTTGTGGGTTATTTAAGGGCACCTTTGAGGGAACTGAAGGGATAAATAATACACTATGCACCACCTGTCACAGAACCCATAAGCATAGAGTAGTTCTTATTCAGCAGTTCATGCTCATTACTTTACTGTCTTTCACTGATTCTGATATCTAAGGACAATTTCAAGTCTTTTCTTTGTTGTGGCATATGATAGGTGTTATATAGCATTTTAAATCCCTTCGGGTAAGGTCATACCCTATCGCCAAGGGGGGATCATGGGAGTGGAAGTGTTCTCTGTGTGAAAGATGGACTCCTCATGGACTCCTTGTGTTGCTCCTCATAGAGTTTTTTCAAAGGCACAGACTGCAGGTGTAGCAACCTCTGTTGCAGTATACTGTGTCCATTTGACTCATGGATGTTTTACCACTTCAAACCAACTAACTCAAACACCGCCACAGCTGCACTGAAAATGCTGCTGAGAAATAATTTCCCACATCACCTTAGATCTCCACTGAAAGCAGTAGTTTTTCCTGGAAATGGCAACCTCATGATACACAGAAAATTCATTTGCACAATAAAAACCTGATGGTGTGTTTGACCTGGCCACATCTGGCCAATTGAACCGAGATTTATAATGCGGCAGGTCGGCTCCAAAAGGCGTCGGGTACCATCTCCCCTGCACAGCAGTGTTTATGTAGGCCAAGTTTAAATATTTGAGGAGCACATGTGGGGATGAATAGTGGCACAGGGTTTCATCATAAAGCTGTGAAGGGCGAGCCAGCGGGGGGTCATTTTAACGGTAGTGTCAACATCATGAGGTCCCACCTCTGTCGACTCAGCAAACAGTATATCGCAGATGCTCTAAAAGAGGTGGTGCCGGCTGCTTTCTGGAAAAGGTTGGTGGTTTTTTAGAACGTTATTGATAGCGCCAGCAAACCCTGGACATCTCTCCCCATTGGTTCTAAACTGTGTGTCCAAAGTAACCATCAGAGAATGAAATAGAAGACAGGAGGACTAACGTGTGATGCAACAATAGTGATAGAATTGCGGTTGCACAAAGAGCGAAACAGCTGCTGTTCTATTGACTGAGGTAGTCTTTCTTGGCCTTCTCTACAGTATTATTATGTAATCTCACTGTATATACAAGGAACAAATGGAGGTCATCATCTTCTCCAACATCTTCGACATTTGTCTGGACTAATCAGAGAGCAAGACACGTTTTGTTGCTCTGGTTTTGCAGATGTGACGGAGGGTTTGATGATTAGATGATTCCACTTTTCTGATTACTTCACTAGTTTCTGGAAAACAGTTACAAAGAAGTTTATATCACCACTTTTTCTTTGCTGTCATGACATTTCCTTCTGCATCCCACATTTCCCCAAATCTAATGTTACCCCAGCTCACAGTCTCTTGCTGTAAAAAGTCATGATCCCACTCTCTCAGTTGGCAGTGAAGGAGTCACGGGGAAGTCAGCTCAGCTGCGAGCTACTGCTGCGTGGGTTGCTGTTTACCCAGTCTGCCTGTCTGCGGACATCCAGCACAGCTCTCACTTCAACACCCCAACTGCCCACCTGTCTCCTGTTTCTGCACAGACACTTGCAATCCTGCAAGCAAATCCCTACTCTAGCAAGAATAATTATCACTCTTATCTCTTTTTAAAATTTTTTTACTGCTTTCGATTTTGACAACCCTAATTTCAGGTCATTCTGCAGCTTTCACATTGCTCCGTGGTCTGTTTTCCAAGTCGTTTTAGCCCTGAGGTCAGCAATGTTCTTGACCCCTCCCTTGTCTTGCATCACCAAGCCTCTGGTTTCCATCCATCACTTTCAGCCACCCAGATGCACTGTACCGCAAGCCTCTATTGCGCTCATTTCTGCTCGTCTTTATGTCTGCTGGGGGTTTCCATGCAACTTTCCGTTTCCAAAACAGACACCTGCTCTACTCCCTCCCAACACACAGACGTTCCCTACTGAGAAAAGCAACAGAAAAGAGAGCGAGAAGAACTATGTTGAGAGAAAAGTGATTTCATGGAAGAAAGGGGGATGAAGAGCTAGTGGGAGCTGGTGATGCAGTTAATTTTGTTTATTTGAAAGGCAGCAAAGAGGCTCCATACAGCTCTGCTTTAGTGGTCTGATTTGATGCCAGTCACCATCTTTAAAGTATGCCAAAGAGGTTTAAAGAGGCACTAAACAGAGATTCAAATAATCTACGGGTCTACGTATTACAGCACAAAGGAACCACCAGGTCAAAGCAGCCTCCACTCCAGCGCCACATCATCAAGGACATCAGCCACAGCATGGTGCCTTATTTTTTCTATCCGTAATAGTCTTCTGCCAGGTAGATGCATGAAACCTTACATGGATTCTGCTCACCTCACAACCCCTGTCAGTCCCTGACCTTACACAGCCTCCAATCATTAGGTGGTACCATTAAAGGCATCAGTGCACTTGAAAAGGAGGTGTTTATTTGAAATGAAAGGGTTGTGTCTGACCACTTTTCAGCCTTATGTTTGGTTCGTCGGGTATTCAGAGGTAGGGAAGTATGCAAAATCTGACCTTCTCTCTAAATAATGTTTCATTCTTCACACAGTTTGCATTTTGGTGGGCATGTGGTGCAAAGTAATGGAAGCTGTTACCTTCAAGGCCCGACTAGCTTAAAGTGTGTGTGTGTGTGTGTGTGTGTGTGTGTGTGTGTCAGCTTGTGAAAAGAATCTTATCCTTGAGTGTGATTCAGTTCACCTACAGTTAAAGCCTTTTAATACTCTTAGAAACCCCCCTGTGCTCAGACAAGACTTCTCTCGCATTTATTAAGCAGGTAAATGCAATGCAGTTCAAGAAGGAAACTATTTTATCTAAAGTTTTGACAGAAAACAACCACATACTATTAAAAGCCAGGGAAGAACACATTTACAATAAAATACTGGAAACAGTTCATTTAAATGCATCTGCTAATTTGTCAAATCCAGTGCCTATAAACACATGACCCTGTGTTTGGAGCAATCCAAATATTTTGGTGCATATGTCTGGGTGCTGAGGGTTGAGCGATACACTCGTATACTCACTGCTCATAATATATCATAATGAGTCTGCAACAAAGAAAACAGTCACCATTGTTGAAAAGTGCTGAGCTGATTCTTGTGAACCACCTGCTGGATTTTAAACAAAGGAATACCAAGATGTCAGGACCAATCGTTTGAACAACCTGTGATCACAACCAGCACCAGAAAGGGGTTTATTTGGTCAGTGGGCTGAATCACATTTGGCTTCAAATATTGCCCTTGTATATAGAAGTCCTTAAGAAAAAAAAATCAATGTACCTGAACGCATTCCACCACATATGTACAAAGTAGCAGTGTTATGTGTATCTTGGAACAAACAGAAGTTTACTGAGCATGCCCCACTTCCTGATGACTGTTCTGTGTAGTATCATGACGTTGGCTTCTTGGGTCTGCAAGGCTGCAATTGGACCCTTCCCATAAGACTCACTGGCATGAGTAGGTTTTTGACAAAGCACTGCACTCTAGTGGTAAATATGCATGCTTATAGGGCCAGAGTACTGCAGTTTTGTTGCAGAATCAGGGTTAATGATACCATCTTCTATTTAATAAATAATATGTATAATCTGGCATGCTTTTGTTTGCAAAGCAGTCTTTTTACTCTTCCTTTGTTAGTGTTTCCTGTAATCAAATGAAAATTTTCATTTTAATATGGCACAAAAATCTTGTAGGTCACTCACTTTGCTAAATTATAGCAGAATTTATGCATTCAGAGCTCCCAAGAGAACCCATCTGCACTCTGAAACAAAAATGATGATGTCATTATGGTTGCCATTCAAAAGAGCAGCATTTTCCAGACTTGTACAATAGTCCTCACTTAAGTCTTTTGACATCTTTGCTCACATGTGGCTTTAACACGTGTGAGGCATGTCTTTGACAGCTACACTACCCAGCTCCGTGCAACAAAGGCCAGACTTTGTTGAAAGGTCTAGCATGTGTCTGTTTTATGTGGGGGCTGAGCTCACGTGAGGAGTTTAAATCAAATGGGAGCATATGTTAAATGTCAGCGTTGGCCTGGAGGTTGCGACTGGGCAAACAGATTACTGTAGATGTTGACTTGCATCCAGGTTCTGGGAAATGCGAGTGGTTTCTAGATAAACCTGTAGGATATACGATAGCTTATTAAGCGATGGTGTGCCGTGAATTTTTAATGGCACTCCTAATTATATTTGAATGACAGGGAACACTAGAGGTTGTTTGGGAGCAGTTTAATTTTAGACAGATGTTGAAAAGGATGGTCTGCATATTGACTGTAACGGTACTCATTCGACCATCGTTACGCGGTGAATCTATCAAACACGGAAGCATCATTTATACAGAAAAACATATGCAGATGTGAAGGCTGGGGATACAGTGAAAATGTAGGTCAGCTTCCTATGTAGATTTGAAAAAGTTGCTCACAGAGATTTTCATTTATTTTATTTTCCTAACATGCAAATATTGCCATTAATTAAACAGCAAATGAAAAGCACACGTTAAGCAAAACTGATCCTTAATTTAAAAAAATACACACAATGATGCCTTTATTCAGCGCTTGTGCACATCTTAGTTCATTAATATATATCAAGTATGCCTTTTGTGCAGGATTTATAAATATGTTGCTTTCAGATAGTAATTGCTTTCATCACTTTAGCTACAGTATGAAAGTCTACTCGTATTTCCTAATATTTGCGTCACTGCTGTGTTATGATTGGATGGTCCAGATTCTTCCGAAGAGGGATGGCGCATTCATGTGCAGCCACATGTGCTGTAAAAACAATCTGCCTATTAAAATGGCCTTTTTGATGCAAGACCCAATCATATTTCCATTATTATCTGTTTCAGGCCAACTACTTTAGCATTTGTATATGTTGGCATACTTTTCATACTGCCTACCAAATCGTTGCTGGTGCTATCCAGATGCATACTCATCAGATGTGGCACCTTTGATTAATGGCAAAACATGCAAAAGCACTGGCTGGACTTTCTAATCAATCCTTTGGTGCGTGATGCAGCAGTGTGTTTTGTGCAACCAGCATCCCAAAAAAACAATTTTGGGCAACATATGTTTATTAATTGCTCGTATGCTGGGTGTTATAGCGTTAGACACTTTGAGTTTGTTTAAACCCCTCTTTGGTCTCAAACCAATTCAGTTTCCCTCAGCTGAAGGCAGTCAGCCTCTTCTTCATGTAAAGAAAAGCGAGGTATGTGGCTCCTCCTAGAACGCCTATCAACAAAGTGGTACCAACAATAGCCGGTGCATTCTTCCTGGCCACGCGAAAGGCCACAGGAAGGACAGCAGAGATCAGGATGTTGTTGACGTGGCCCAGTACTCTCCTGAAGGCTGGGCGCTCCACCACACGTTCATAGTATGTTTCCACGTTCACGCGATTACCGTTGCCCCAATAGCGACGAGAGAGGCCGAGAAACTTCAGCCGGTGTAAGGTGACTGCCAGGGAGACGTCAGCCAAGCTGAAGAAGTCACCGCACAACCAGGGCTGGCTGCCTTCTTCTGCAAGTGGAAGAGGAAGGAGAAGATAAGAATATACAAGAAGATAAGAAATACAAGAAGATAAGAAAAGCATCCTACATGTTATTTAAAAAGCTACAGCTCTCAAATTTTGACTGATTAATACAGTATCTGCTATGTGACAAACAGCTGTGGCTACCTGGTGTTTCTTCCACCCTTCTCTGTAGCTCTGTCTCAACCTGATCCATCACACTTTCCAGTTCATCAAGAAGCTTCTTCAGGTACTTCATGTTGTCATGGTCAAATAACTTGGACTACAGAAAATATAAACACATAGCGTATATTTACTTCAAGTGGACGTACAGAAAGTGACTAAAATGATCAGATAGGCCGCTACAACACAGAATGATTGTAATGTCTTCATTTTGGTACAACTCCAAGTCCAAAACAGCTGGGATGCTGTAAACGTTAAATAAAAACAGAATAAATTAGAACTGTAACTATCGTTGACTAAATATTTTATTCATAAGAGAATATATAAAACATAGTAAATATTTAAACTGAGACATTTTACTATTTTATGAAAAATATTAACTAATTTAAAATTTGACGCCAGCAACAGATCTCAAAAAAGTTGTGACAGGGGCAAGAAAAGACTAACTAATCAGGTTAACTGGCAGAGGGTCAATAACATGACTGGCTATAAAAGTAATGTGTCATTATTATCATCATTTACAGTGAATAACATCATCAAAATATTCAGAGAATCAGGAAAAAAGCTTTAAATCAATTTTATGATGTCTGCGATCTTCAGGTCCTCGGGCAGCACTGCATTAAGAACTGGGGGATTCTGTCATGGAAAGAGAAATCACTGTGTTCATTGTGACATTCCCAAATGCATATTAAAGCTCTATTATGAAAAGAAGAAGCCATATGTGAACATAATCCAGAAATACCGCCATCTTCTTTGAGGCAAAGTGGAAAACTGTTATTTGGTCAGATGAATGAAAATGTGAAGTTCTTTTTGGCAAACACAGACACTGTGTCCTTCAGACTAAAGAGGTGAGAGACCTCCTGGATTGTGATCAGCGCTCGGTTCAAAAGTTTGCATCTATGATGGCATGGGGGTGCATAATGGCAGCTTCGCATCTGGAAAAGCACCAACATTGCTGAAAGACATATATAGCTTTAAAGCAACATATGATCCCATCCAGATAATATTTTTTCAGGGATGGCCTTGCAAACTTCAGCAAGACAACATTAAACCAAATACTGTGTCTATTACAAAAGCATGGCTTTGTAGTAGAAGAGTCTGGGTGCTGAATTGGCCTGCCTGCAGTCCAGATCTTTCCGTGATTAGATATATTTGATGTATAGTGAAATGAAAAATGTGATGAAGAAGATCTAGGATTGCTGAGAAGCTATAATCCTCTGTAGGACAAAAATGGGACAACATTCCTCGCCTAAAGGGTCCAGCAGCTGTGCATATCAATTCCCAGACATTTACATACTGTTATTAAAAAGAGTGGATGACACACACAGTTTTCTGTTTACGTGTTGCTGCGATCAAATTCAAAATTGGCCAGTATTCTTCTTTTTCATTTTTAACAATTGCTATGTTTTTTGTGTTCTGATGAAAATATGGGTTTATAAAATTTGCAAAACATTTCATTCTGTTTTTACTTATATTTTACACAGTGTCACTGCATTTTTTGAAATGTTAATTTTTTTTGGTCTATCTAGTTTTTTGGTTTATCTGTTTTGTTTTGGGTTTATTAGTTTTTTTGTTCTAACTGAAACTTATGCTACTGCGGAAGTTAGCTACATCTGCCTAGTGATTAAAAGAACATGATTAGCAAGGAGGTTGGTTCCTCAAAAATGAAAGGCCTCTGCTGCAGATAATACTGCATGTGTGGGGAAAAAAGTAAGTTTTTACATTTTACATTTACATTTCACATATTTACATTAGGAGTCTACTAACAGCAGTATTGCTAAAGCTAGCTAGCTAGCTACCACTTCTTTAGCTTATTAGTTAGCTTCTGTTTACTTTATGGTTTACTACATTTGATGTGCACTATTTTGTTTGTCTGAATTCTTTAACTTATATTTCAGAATCCGAATACTTTATTAACCCCTAAGAAAATTATGTGGTTACAGTTGCTCCAAAACAATAAGAACCGTGACAGGTTAAACTAAATTAAATAACACAATATATTACCAAATTACAAAATATAAGAAATGGCTCTAATATATATGAATAGCTCAATTATAAATATCCAGATTTATTTTATATGTGTTCACTAAAGTTTTATTAAAAATTGAAAAATGGAACAAAAATAAAGTTGTACACTTCTTGCAATGCAATACCAGATGGCATAATGACACTCACTAAATTACAGAGGATTAGTAGGTGTCTGAAATCTCACTACTCAGTGTACTTCTGAGTGACTCTTACATAATTTGTAGTAAATTACTTAACAAAAATATGCTGTGGACAGTGTGTCTCTATAGCCAAGGCTCATTTGGACACTTGATAAAGACATTTGGCTCTCTGGTAATTAGAGTAACTTACTTTCAGGCGCTTTTGTTTTGCTATATAAGCGTCTTTGAGCTCTGGGTTCTGCTCTGCCAGTTTCATCAGCTCTGACTGTGTGCTTCCGATCTGTGCTGTCACCACAAAAAATAGTAATAAGAAAAATATTAGACATGATGAGGCACAAAATTAATCCCACTATTACAGAGTTTTACAGTGAAATAAGAAATGCCAGTATCAACATGTGCGAATGAGAGGTTTTAATCTAAATCATAAAAAAAGGTTACATTGCACATCAATGTAAAGTTACAAAATATATATTTTTAGCTTTTATCTGATTTTAAGTACAATGATTCAGAAAGGAGAAATTGATTTAGGATAACTAAGGGTATAGTGTACAGTCTCTTTGATATTCAGTTGAAAATTGTACAGCTATGAGGCTCAGATCGTCTTACTTCGTACACATGTGGCAGCATATGCTGGTATATGGGAGTCCACAGTGATTTCAGGGTGGAGTAGGCAGCCATGGGTGTAGGCATCCATGGGTAGTGAGTCCAGCAGCTCTCTGTAGTGCTGCACTCTTAGGTAGTAGGTACTGCCCTCTTCTGGGACCAGCCTCGGAGTGCCCTCTGGAGACAAACAAGTCATGGAAAAGGATCAAATTTTGGAATTTAATATTTTTGTTTCTTATGGGGTTTTTTTATGGGTTTATACACTACTGACTTAGGTTAGGGAGAAGAAATGATGACAGCAAAGCCTTTATGTTCACTTTCTTCCCTGAGGATTTAAAAACATTTGGGTATCTCCTTAAATGACTTCATGCTTACCAGATGTCCTTTCCTTCTAAGGTGATTTGATGCAGACCCTTAGCTATTATGGATCAGTGCACACCAAGGGAAAATAAAAATTTAGAAAAGAAACAATGAAATTATTGAAAAATCAACAAATATGTGTGATACAAGGAAATGCATAAAAGCAGACAGAAAATACAATGAAATGAACCCTTTTAAGGTTCTAAGAAGCTGAAGCTTGATATAATATTTTAGTTTTGGTGTCATAAATGAGAGCTTTGGGCTGCAGCTCCTCTAGGGACCAGCAGCTACATCTGCATCAATCTCACCATCATTGAAGTTCTGCTCCAGGTAGTCCATGATCTGCGTTGGGTCACAGATGACATTGTCGTTGTGAACTAAGACTGGAACCTCACCACCCGGATTCAGACGCATGAACCACGGCTCATTGTGCTCGCTGAGAGGAAGGCTCACGTCGTACTCTTCACAGTGCAAACTTTTCTCTGCTATGGCGAGACGCACCTGGAAAACAACAACTTATTGTGACTGGGACTGTGGAGGAAGCTTGTTTTTATTTCCCTGCCAATAAAATCTTGCTCTCTTTTCTCCTCCCACAATTTTCAAATAAATCATTGGCTTCTCTTTTATCCAGTCAGCACCTGCCTTTAATTAAAAATTACAGATGCATTTTTTACAGCAAAAGTGCATGAATAGTTAGGTGGGTGGATTGAGAGGAAGCTGAACCTCCTTATGATTCTGTTAAGAAGTAATGGAAATGAGAAGTGAAAATAAGCTTGTCTGAAAACCTGCTGTATTTCTGAGAAACACCCTGAAGGACGGAAAACTCATGTCTGTACACTGAAATGTGCTGCTGAGCTGCTGTTACACGTGACAGAGCTGAAAGGCAGTCAAGCTACTAACTGTTTTAATGATTTAAAAAAAACAAAGAGGAACGGGTTTATACAAAGCCTAAACCATCTACAGCAGCAGGGCTGTTTTTGCAGTCCTACAGTGTCATAATTAACCCCGTTATGGGGAGCTGTCCACTAAACTGTGGTGCTGAAAGACTAATGACGCTCACCTTCTGAGAGTTGAACGACTGCGTCCAGTGATACAGCGTCAGTTTGGATTCGCGCTGTTTTGCGACTGTGCCGCACTCCTGATGAACATCTTGCTCTGAGTCCGGGTTTATAAGAGCTGCTTTCTCATCTTGAGATTCAGAGCTGTTTTCGGACGCCATTTTATCCGTTACTGTTGTAGGAGGGGGCGTCGCGGTCGACAAAGTACTCCCCCCTCTGGCTCGGAGTGTAACGCGAAATTATTGTTTTATGTATTTCTTTTAAATTAAAAGATAAAGTAATTATTTTTTAAATACATTCTCGCATTCACGTGTTGGTATTCATGTGAAACCTGCGCTTTTCCTTCTTTTTGTATACCTGCGCTCTCTTGCACCCTTACCCCCCTCCCTGCTAGTTCACGTTCTTGCTCCTTATTGTTGAGACTAGCATAGTGGAAATATTTTACTAAGGGTTTCTTTTAATTAATAGAAAAAAACTACAACTATGGTGCCAAATTTAAAATCCCAAGTATAATAATTAACAAAGTCAGACAACAAATAACACCCTTTAAAGTGCACAGTTCAATCCTTTACTACGTCACAGGCCACCCTTCCTCATCTGAGGCAGTGCAATGAATACGCTGGTACAGCAGAGGTCGCTGTTATCTAACACTGTGGCTGCTACTGGTGCACTCGAGTCTGAATATTATCAGCCTGATACAAAAACTGATGTGTGTTTTGTGTTTTGTTTTTAAGTCAATGCTATAATATAAAGCGATACTGGTTCTTACTCATTAAACGCAGGGAAATTAAACTGGTTTCTTTCATGTTCTACATAATACATTGAACCATTTTTATTAGAATTGATTTTTTAATACTTATGAAATCAGGAGTTGTTGCCTGAAATGCATGCCCAGCGTATGATTGATCTTTTTTTAAATAATATAATAAGTATAATAATATTAATATTTAATTTAGAAAATCAAAGTATATGGCTACTTAATCCAGGATGCGTATCGAATACAAGAGAAAAGTGATGGGTGTGTTAAAGAATGACTGTCTAAAACAGCATCAGACCATCGCCTCACAAAATAGGCCATATAATAATATTATGTAATATGGGTGAGGATTGAATCATATGTGACCGAGCTTATATTTTTGTAATGGGGGCATTATGGGAAGTGATATTTGAGGAATTTAGTCTGTGTAAAGCGAGGCGGGTCTTTCAAATGTAAAGTTTGGCACTGGCGCGTTATTTTGGCGAAGTTGAGGCGTTCGGGCGCTTTGCGGAGGGGGGAGAGGAGGAGAGTGGGAGGTCCCTGTGGCGTGACGTTGCGATTGGCCCAGCGCCTTTCTTCAACAGGGGCTCGGTACATCTCTCTCTCTCTCCCTCCTTTGATCAGTGGGTGAGAGGGGGGAGACGAGCAACACACAGCGGAGAGTCCAGCGTGCGCCTCCGGTAAATGACGCCCACCATTCATACCTTTACACTTACCGTTACGCATGCCTTTTGTATTACATGTCAGTGTCTGGAAGCGCCAGTCCACCATCCTCACCTTCCTATTTTTTGCTCTTGTAGTCATCATCTTGTTGGCTCATCCTTTCATCACACCACCGGTCCTGGATCCTCCAGCCCAGGTCCTGGAGAATCCTGAGTCTGCAGCAGCGCACCATCTGCTTTATTTCCAGTCTATATCTGAATGACGGGCGGAAGGTTTGACTTCGACGATGGTGGCACATACTGCGGGGGGTGGGAGGATGGCAAAGCCCACGGACATGGGATCTGCACCGGACCCAAGGGCCAAGGCGAGTACGCCGGGTCCTGGTCGCACGGCTTTGAAATAGTTGGCGTGTACACCTGGCCCAGCGGGAATACCTACAAGGGTTACTGGTCCCAGGGGAAGCGCCATGGGCTGGGTGTGGAGAATAAAGGAAAGTGGATCTATCGAGGAGAGTGGAGTCATGGTTTTAAGGGTCGGTACGGCGTTCGGCAAAGCCACAACACACCTGCTAGATACGACGGGACCTGGAGCAACGGTCTACAGGATGGATATGGGATCGAAACCTATGGAGATGGCGGTAAGGCACCAGGTTTTAATAGATATGGCACATCGCTTGTTTAGCGTGCATGTCGCTTTAACGGCGGTGAGTGGTAATGTGTTATGTAGCTCGTGTGTAGGATGCTCAGACTCAAACTGAGGAAGGCTCACTGTAACACACCAGCGCGTGAATCTCCATCTGATATGAGCTGAGTATAAACTGAGATTGCGCACTGCGCATCGTGGTCAGTCACCTCGTCGTTTACCCAGCATAACTGACTCTTTACCCCGGTGGTAACGTTAACTTTTCGAATACCGTTTAAGATCACGGTTCCTATTTTATTCCAAGGGACATCTCTTTTGGCAACTACCGGTTGCTCCTCATATGACAGTGGGAGGAGAGTAACTGCTCCTCACTGGAAACATGCCTCCCGGAGAAGGAGTTTGGAAAGCAAATCAGTCCATTTAAAGTCAATTAAAGACTCAAACTCAAATCACTTGCTTCACTGTCATTTTCTCCCTTTGAACCTTAACTATAAAAACACATGTCCTGAAGGGTGCACATGCTCCCGTTTTAAATGAAGTGTAATGTGTATAAAGCACGAGAAGGTGCTCATTTTTGGTAGCATTTAAAGTTATTCTTCATGTGTCTAGACTAAAGAACTCACACATCTGTAGTGGAAAGAGCTAAGTCCCACACAGGACTTGTACTTGCTGAAAATGAGAGGTCAGTCATCTCACTAATCATTGGTGTGTTCACAGATTGCGTTTATGTAAGGACCTGTGTCTGATGAGGGAGACAAGATCGCAGGAAGCCTAAAAAACAAGCGCTTGCCTGTTGTTCAGGCCTCTCCTGTTATAAAACAAGCAAGTCTTTGGGTGATTTGTGAGCATCATCCTCCCCTAATGGAGGCCTTATGGTGCAGAATAAATGCCTCACATATGATGTTACAGAGGGCTGGGCTTTGGGAATCAGCTGATCCTAGAGGATCTACAGAACATCTGGCTGTCTGACTCCGCAACATCCTGATAACTTGATCTGCAGGGTCACCAAATTGAACTGCAGCACAGAGCCAGCCTGTTAATCTCACCCTGTTTATCCATCTAAATTCCTCCCCTGACTAGTATATCATTTTCTGTTAGAATCTGACTGTTATGGCTTATTTCATTGCATTGGTGAATGAGATTCAGGCACTGGATTAACAAGCCTTTCTTATTATTAGGCTTAGGATTGTAATATGACACTTTGAAGAAGCAACAGTAGGGTAGGCCGACAACCTGCTCATTGGGCTCAGCAGCACCAAATGGGATTAATGAAGTATTCTCCTCATTATGTGACTCATAGCAATTCCCTGTCGTCACAGACAAACGGATGGTGGTGAATGTGCCTACTGTCAGTGGGGGAGTTAGTAGCTGCCTGAAAATAGGCCCCTGGCTAAGTGATTCACATTCATCCCAAGCGATCTTTAGTATCTGTACCTTAATCAAATCTCTGTGATTGGGTTAGCTATGCTCACAGTCCCATATCTGAGTGGAAGGAGAAAAAACATTTCATTAGCTGACATACTCCTGCACCAACAAAGCAAGGCTTCAAGGTCTTGTTGCTGATATAGAAAGTTACTGGTCAACAACACGCAGGTTGTGCATGAGGAGCACAGAGGAGCTTTCTTCTGACCATGAGTAGCCTATTAAAAAATTTTTACCCTGCTTTGGCTTTAAAGTTGTTGTAAAACGAAATGAGCTTTTCAGGCATGTATATAATCACAGATTATCATCGGTTTTATTGCAAGCAATAGAAAATGGACATAACCAGCTTGTTGTCACCCCACTGGTTTGTGGAGGTTATCATCTAATGTTAGTGTTAGTTAGCCAGCTTGGTTAGCAAATTAAATATAGGCAAACTGAAGTATTAGCTGAAAACACATGGGGCAAACTTTGAAGATGACAACACAATGCTCTAATCAAATTTAGGGATATTTATAGTAAATGCATGTCGTTGCTATACTTGTGCCCTATTGACCAGTCACAACTTACCAATGACAAGGTCACCTCAGCTTAAAGCATTATCTTATAGTTAATATTAGTTTACAAAGTCATGAAGAATTATAGGCTCGAAGTAGCGATTGAGACTAAGTGTTTACTCATTGATCTATACCTTCCTCTTACTCAGGAACTTATCAAGGCCAATGGATGGGTGGTATGCGACACGGCTATGGTGTGCGTCAGAGTGTTCCCTATGGCATGGCCACTGTCATCCGTTCTCCACTCCGTACGTCTATGGCCTCCCTGCGCTCTGAGCAGAGCAATGGTGCAGTGCTCCAGGACCTCTCCTCCCCAGCAGACACTCCAACGGGCAGCCGCGGTGGCTTCGTCCTCAACTTCCACTCGGACAGCGAAGTTGTCACCGGCAAGAAGAAGGGCCTGTTCCGCCGCGGCTCGCTCTTTGGCAGCCTGCGACAGTTGCGCAAGTCTGACTCTCGGACCTCAATCTCCAGCAAGCGCAGCTCTGCAAGAAGTGACGCCACCATGAGCCGCATCAGTTCAAGCGATGCCAACTCTACCATATCCATCGGTGATGGCGAGCTGCCAGATGAGGACCTACCTCAGGAGGACCATGTGGACGCCACCACAACTGAGACGTACATGGGCGAGTGGAAGAATGACAAGCGCAATGGATTTGGTGTATCAGAGAGATCCAACGGGATGAAATATGAAGGAGAATGGCTTAACAATAAGCGCCATGGTTACGGGTGCACGGTTTTCCCAGACAGCACCAAAGAAGAAGGGAAGTACAAAAATAATGTGCTGGTGCGTGGAATAAGAAAGCAGTTGATTCCTCTTAAGAACCCCAAAACCAAAGAGAAGGTAGATCGGGCTGTGGAGGGGGCACAGAGGGCTGCAGCCATTGCGAGGAGTAAAGTGGAAATAGCAGCATCCAGGTACTGTGTTTATGTGTGGGTGGATGTTCATTCATGCTCCTGCATGTACCTGTGGGTGTATACTGTGTAAATACAAAAAAAAAGCCCACACAGGATGAAAATCCTCAGGCATTTATTTTCACCACTGAGGAGTCACAGCAGTGTCCTGTTTGACAAATATCTCCTGGTCTGATTGAAGGTTCAGTCTTGTATAAGTGAAGTCCCATGACAACA